AAGTACTTCAGACTATATAACCTTATAACAGTTTTCAGATAAATAATTAATAATTTCATCATATATTGAAAACTAAATACAAGACTCATAAACAAAAACACTGAAATAAAAAAACAATAAAATAAACACATTTTTTTGTTAAAGTAAATATCTGTTTTATTTATTTCAGTTAATATGGGAGGGAAAAAATAAAAGATTTATATATTAAAATTTTTAATATAATTATTTTATTTTAGTTTATTTTTATAAAATTTGTATTTAAATATCTATGCTATTGGCAACATTTATTAAAAACTCATCGCCTTCATCTTTCAGTAAATTTAGATATTTATTTTCTAAGTTATCCACTTTTTTATATAGTCAAAGAGGTAGTCGTCGTCTGGAAAAACAATTTCTTCCAGGTCATCTATATCAATCCTTTGAGCACATTGAAAGTACTCATATAAAAACTCATTTCCAAATACATCCATCGTTTCTTCTCCAAATGGGAAATCTTCCCATTTGAGTGATTCCAACTCTTGTGGAATCGTTTGAGTAGATGTTGAGTAGGGTGCGAATACTTCCCTCAGGTTCCTGTCTATGGTGTCTTCTTGATCTAGAGCCATTATACAGTTTGGCTCCGATTCTTCACACATTGAAGTCCTGGTCAAGGATTTCGACATCCGTCAAGAGTTCCAAAGCTTGAACCGAATCGATGAACTCTACGTTTATTACGCTCTTGGTGATGGTGGTGTATGATTTGATGCTCCTGACGAACTGATGCTGAACAATTTGACTGTTCTGATTTTTATACATAAAGGGCATACAGATTTGTTATACTCCTACACCGACTTGACAATTTTATCATGGTGTGCCCATGGACTCTTATTGGTTCTTATTTTGTCTGTCTCCCTTTATCTTGACGAAATTTTAATAACTCTGAAATTTTAATAAACAACTAGAAACTTTCCTCAAAACGGTCCCAATCCTCCTTAGTCAGGAAAAAACAAAAAGTTTATTTACAAATCAGATGCATGAGTGTGAAGTGACCCTATATTCGGTTAAACAACTTCAACGGGTGCCAATATCGGAAGAAGCTTAACCCAGCTACTCAATTTTTCACCAATTGTAAAAATAAAGAAGACAAAATTTCCTCTACGGTGTTTCCTAAATAATTGGTTTAAGCTATGTGTAATATTGGAAAACTCTAATTACGAAGTTTATTATAATTCTATAACGTATATTTAAGCTTCAGTAATAAATAAATAGTTGAACCTACAAGTTGTCTTAGACAATGGAGTCATTCAAGGGTTTGTTTGATAATGATACGCGCAAAAGGGGATACACACAACAGATTTGTTGTAATTATTGTGGATCTAATACTCATTTCGAGAAGAACTGCTCTAAAAAACGCGATTATGAAAAACATAAATAAACCTTATATAGTTGAAGGATAAGATAACAAATCTCTTTCAAATAAAATAAAATATAATAAAAAATAAATTAATTCATTGGTTAATTATTTCTGTGCCAAAACAAAGCTCTGCCACATTCGGCGCGTGCGCAACGGATGCCCTAAAGATGTTTACAAATCAAACGCATGAGTATGAACAGACATGGAGACGGGAAAAAGGAGAGGGGGAAGGGTGTTTGTGACCACAAACTCTGACATTTTAATGAACAACAACAAATTGATTATTATGATTTCTGTGCCAGAATCTTAAACTGTTTATGGGATGGGGGGACCAAAAACTCCGAAAGGGAGGCAGCAAACATTATGAACATATATTATAATCAAGAAAATAGAATGAGAAGGAAATCAAAAATACAAAAAGTACTTCAGACTATATAACCTTATAACAGATTCGGGAATAACAGAGTCAGGAAAGAAGACCTCAGATAACTGCTTCCAGACAAATAATTAATAATTTCTTCTTATATTGAAAACTAAAAACAAGACACAAAAACAAAAGCACTGAAATAAATAAACAATAAAATTAACACATGTTTTTTGTTTAAGTAACGTGCGCAACTGATGCATGGGAGTGAAGTGATACTTTATTGGGATAGACAACTTCCATCAGAATCCCTTCTGATGGAAGGGACAAACAGACAGATAATGGGTTTTGGGATGGGGGGAATTTAATTGATAAAAACCATTAATGCAATAGTTAATTGATAAAAACCATTAATGTCACCGTTAATTGATAAAAACCATTAATGTCACATTTAATTTCCCATAAATCTGGCCCAGAAGCCTTCTCCTCCCAACTCTTATGCTCAGATCTCGACGTTCGTTTTCAAATCTCGGACAGAAAAAAACACGTGTTCTCAGTGCGAATAACGTTCATGCTTAAAGCTATTCAGATAGTATTTAAAGCATCCATGTCCAGTCAGCAGTTGCGTCCACATGTCCATGGTATCGTCCCAGCGTTCTCTGCAGTTTTGGGATAAGCTTATATGTCCCTTTTTCTGCACCTTTTGCGTAGTTATTCAGCAGTAGCTACCTGTGCGGATATCAGCAGATTCCACTGTTAACAGGTCAATCGGTATGATTCCCGATGTTACCATTGCCGCGTCAATTTCATCAACCACCTCCCTCATTGGGACTGTGATGGACTGGTTTCCCGTCCATTAGCTTCTTCAGCTCCCTGGTCTTCAATCCCAGGCTAGTCAGCTGTTTCAGCACATCCCCTTGCTCTTCATCAGCTTTTGGGCTGCTCCATTACACGACTCCATTACACTGCTTTTTTTCAATGGGTCAGCTCCCATGTTGGCCCAGTCAGGTAGACTGGACAATGAAGTATGGAAGCCCCCGGTATACGTCGGCGCCGCCTGGCCTTTGTTTGCCGGCGTGCCTCCGTTGTTGGTTGGCAAAGCTCAGGTGTTGTACCCCCGGTCAGTACGTGTGAACTGCTAGACTTGTATTTTTAATCGTGAGACCCTTCCGAAGGCAGTTAAGTTTTTAAAAAAATCTAACCTCTGGGAAGCGCAGTTTCCTATTTGATGTTATGCTGAAGTGCACAACATAGGGCAGGGTCGTCCCTAACAGCGACCAACGAAAAACTTGTTTTGCCACTTTTGTTCGGGAAAGTATTGCTACGTTGAATCTAGCCTTATCGGCAGGTATCGTCTGTTCAGAATAATAATAAGTCCATCCCGATTTAATACCTTCAGTTCGTCATCAACCGGACCACCAGGAGGAGTACCCACATCAACATAACTTAAGTGAGATAGTATTAAGTGATAGTTAAAATAAACACAATTGAGTTAAGTGAACAATTCTAACGTAAGCATTCTGAATTCAAATTCAATTATAGTACAATTTTCAAAACCTAAAATAATAACTTAGAAAAATTACAATTTAAAGAAAATTAATTAATTTCAAGTTTTTAATTTATTAAATTTTAAATATTAAAATATTACAATTTTATATAAATTTAAACATAAGATAAGACTATAATTAAATTATAATAAATCTTCAAATTTAAATTCTCCATTTCGCATTTTTTTTTATTATTATATTATACTTTAAATTATTATAAATGCCTATTTTAGAAAAATTTGGAAATTTTAACTTTTTTAAGAGTGCGAAATGAAAAAATTGTAACACATACTTATACAAAATATCTCTTTTTTAAGACAAAATAACAAAAAACAAAAGAAATTAATACTGAAAATAGGAATAATTGGAAGGTTTAGATAGGAACTAGACGTAACTTACGAACAAACGGCCAAATACCCCAAATTACCCCTCAAAACCTTACTTACAGGCAAGGACGGACATATTTAAAAAAAACTTCATAGAGGAAAACCATCCAACTCAATGACGAAGCCAGACAAACCTTTAATAAATTAAAAAGCACCTTTATATCAGAGGACATAATATTACAATACCCTAACTTTAATGAAGAATGTGTACTAACGACAGCCGCTTAAGACCACAAAACAGGAGCAGTACTCTCACAAAAAGGCAGATAATAAGCTTTCATATCTATGACCCTATCGCAATCGGAAAAAAACTTCGAAACAGCAAAAAGGTGTTAGCCATTTGTTGGGCAGTAAAATCGCTAAGAGGATACCTTTACGGCGGCACTAAGGTAAAAATTTACACTGACCACGACCCACTAACTCATGATTGTTACTGGAAGGGAGTAATCGCGACTAAAAGATGAAAATCATACCTCAATAAATACAACAAAGAATAGATTTACAAATCCGGAAAGGAAACGCAGTGGTTGATGCTTTATCTAGACTTCCAAGAAACAACAAAATAAATTCACTAAGAATAACTCAGCATAGCGCAGAGTTCTGGCCATAAACTAATTCAGAGTATAGATTCACCCATAAATGCAATTTAAAATTCAATATTTATTTACAAAGAAAATCCTCATAATTCAATATTCCATTCCCCACATTTCATCGACACATTATAACTCAATCAGACATCAAAAAATATTTAAGCCCACCAGTCAAAAATGCAGTTTGTACAACAGAAATTGAACAGTTGTGTCCCCTTGTATTTTACTAACCAAGGGTCATTGTAAGAGGGGCTCCCAGGCAATGCAAAACAGATAAATTTACAAAATTCACGTTTATTAATATATATATAGCACATATGTAAATGGCGTCCCGCGTTGGATGGGACGTACGTGTTCTCTCGCTTGCCGAAGACGACTGCCTTTGCCCTTTTCCCGCTTTCGTTCTCGCGATTCCACGCATCGTCCCAAAGTGCGAGAGCGATCAGCTGGTCGCTCCTCGCCTCGCTTCCAGCTTCCAGCACACTGCGACAAGCAGCAAACTTAACATGCCGCCCGCTAACGCTAGCATGATAAGCGTTCGCTTGTCCGGTCCATCCTGGTTGTGGGGTAGAATCTAGTATGGGAAAGTAAACAAGAATTGTGCGTAAGAAACAAGTTAATTATAATTGAGGTGTGTATGTGAGGGCGCTTATGATCGGATCGGCAGTGGACAAAGCTTTGACACCGAACGCTTCAACCGGCCTTGCTTGGTTTTAAGCGTTACAGCCCGAAACAACGTATCCGTCCCCGGGTGTAGCTCAACGACGCGCCCAGTAGCCATTGCGACGGCGGAAAACGGTCGTCCTTGATGATGACGAGGTCGTCACGCTGAAGTCCTTCAGTCTTGCGGAACCACTTGGGCCTCTGCTGTAGATGTGCTAGCCAATCCCGACTCCAAGCCTTCCAGAAATGACGACCATTGCCTGCTGGACCAGGAAATGCTCCGCGAAGGACTTAGATTGTGGGCGAAACTCAGATGGAGCCGGCGTGAGCACCTCTAGGTCGTCTGCGTCCGCTGTGAGAGGGCAAAGCGGCTGTGAGTTGAGACATTCTTCTACGCTTATAAGCACCGTTGCCCACTCCTCATAGGTGAGCCGTCGATCCGCAATGACCCTCTTCAGGTGATGGTTCCCCAACATCACTTTAGCCTCCCACAGCCCGCCGAAATTGGGCGACTGAGGAGGATTGAAGTGCCACGTTGTCCGTAGAGACGCGAGCTTGTAGGCTATAAGCTGATCGTAATCTTCATGAAGCTTACCGTAGAACTTCTTCATTAGATTGTCCGCCCCCACAAAGTTGGTCCCATTGTCACTGTAGAGGAGCCGAACCATCACTCTCCTCCCGGTGAATCTGCCCAGCGCCAGCAAAAAATATTCCGTGGCAAGGCCTGTCACCGCTTCCAAATGCACTGCCTTGGTTGCAAGGGAAATGAAAACGGTGATGTACCCCTTGTAGAAGCCAATGCCTCGCAACCGTGCTGCCTTGAGCTCTCCCATAAGCTGAGGCGAAGCGGAGGGCTGTGCCCGGAAACACTGGACACATTTCCGCTCCGTCTGCCTTCCTGTCACTATCCAGAACCGCTGGCGTGTATACGCTAAAATAAGCTGCGCACCTCCGTGCTGAGTCAAAACATGCGAGTGCAGTATTACCAGCTCAGTGAAATGATGATGCCTTCCGACAAGATCGGCGACAAGCTCAAAAGCTTACTTCGCGCAGGTAGCCGTTTACTATCTCTTACTGTTGCCAAATCCATTGGGAATTATTCCCGCTGCACGATGCGCACTATAGCCCATAAAGCAAAGTCAAGCTCTTCAATAGTTAGGGCCCGATGCGCCTCTCCCCCTTGCCAACAGGATTGTGCCTGAACCGCAATGCATAGGCCGTGACTCGTACAACCCGGCTGAAAGTACAAAATCTAACAACGAACGACGGAAGCGGGACTGCATGGTGAACTCGTACCTTGGCCGCCTTTGCCTCTAGTGTGGCATCGTTGGTGTCGACCTGCTCGAATTCCATCGAAGGCCACTCGGACTGCGTGTAAGCCACTCAGGGCCTCGCCACCACAAGCCAAAGCCCTTCAATTCACCCGGAGACAGTCCCCTTGTCGCACAGTCCGCTGGATTCTCAGCCGTGCCCACATGGCTCCATCGCGAGGGCGAAGAATGATCCAGAATGATCGCAACCCTGTTGGCCACGAACGTCTTCCATCTAGAGATGTCTCCGTACAGCCAGTGTAAAAGGATTGTGGCATCCGTCCAGTAGAAACACTCAATGGGGAGGTCGCTTGGCTACTAAGCCGAAGTAAGACATTTCACCACCTTGACGGCCAAAACTGCGCCACTCAGCTCCGTTCCAGGTATAGTCAAGGCCCTTGTGGGAGTCACCCTTGACTTCGAGGCCAGCAGTGAGCTATAGCAAGCAATGAACCATCGCAGAACGCGTGAAGCTGAGTTGACACTGTACATCCAGGGAAATAATGAACCCATCGGTCTATGCTTATATCGTCGATCTTCAGCAACCCGTCCCGAAACGCTTGCCACCGTTCTACGAGGGCGTAAGCAACCAGCGCCGACTGAGTGCCATCCGCATGCACTTTCTTTGCCATGGTTACCTCCTTTAAGATCAGCTTTCCCACGATGATGAGTGGTGCAATGAGACCCAGTGGATCGAACAGCCTAGCTATGCTCGATAAAATCATTAGTTTGGTAAACCTAGCTGGAATCTCAAAATTGACCTGAAATTTAAAATCAATACATCGCTAACGCCTTGATAGGATCCGTAGTGTCTCAGTTTAAAGAAGACCTGCTGCACTGATGCTCCGTAGGAATCGAGAGCAAGAGACTGGACTCGTTGCTAGACCATTTCCGCAACTCCATACACGCGGATTTTATCGCACCCGATAATTGTGTCCGCTTATTCCTTGCCTCCTCCAACGTGATACCTCCAGAATGAATGTCATCCACATATATTTCGCTCATCAACACCTCTTCCACCTTGGGAAAAGAACGCCGCTCGTCCTTCGCCAACTGCTGGATGTCCCTGATGGCCGTGAATGGTGTAGACGCCGTCCCAAAGGTTAACGTTGACAAGGTGAAAACGCTGATGGACCCATCCGCCGCCCGCCATAATATCCGCTAGTATTGGGGGTCTCCCGGATGATCCGCCAGCGGGAGCCCTCGTATATGTTCCGAACGCTGAGGCATGAAACTACGACCCGGAAGACAGGAAGTAACCGAATTGAGGACATACGCGGAATCAACGTCTACTGAAAAGTCAGGGCTAACATTACTATGGATTTCCAAATCCCCCAAGTCCCAACCCAAAAATAGATGTTTGGGTGATAGATCGCTTCAGATGCAAGGACTGTATCACGTGCTCCGAGACAATGGTTTCCTCCGATCCTTGGTCGACCAGGGACCACACCGCTCGGCTACTGGCTATGATCCAAAACAGGGAAATGCAACAATGTGTGATGACGCTGCCCACAAACTTGACAGCCTTTACTGCTGCTTACTATTTCCCTCCTCTGGTAGCAGTCTAGGGCCAAAACGTTGAGCAACGACGCAGGATATGGTCGCCGCAGAAGTGGTACTCCTGTGCACTGTGCACTCGCACTCGTTTGGTAGGCTCTGTAGATTTTGGGCCAGCAGCGGAGTCGAACGACAAGCTTCGGCTCTCTATCGCATCTATTATAACAAGCCGATCGTTTAAAAATGACTCCAACTTTCTGTAGGATGGAACTGTGGAACAACTTCCCTGATGGTGCTCGCAAGCGTTCTGGATCTCCTTGAGTCGCCTCAGTGCTACGTAGTGTGCCAGCCAGTGCTGGGAATCCCTGTTCAAGGCTTTAACGCGGCGGAATGTAGCCAGACAAACATTGACCGTGCTTAAGATCGACCGTATTATTTCTGTGTTGTCCTTCTGTAGCCTAGGCAACGCGTAGATGGCATTCATGTGGTCCGCGAAAACGAGGCGAGGATTGTTGTACCTCTTGATCATCAATCCCCAAGCCACCGAATAGTTCCCTTCCGTGAGCTGCATCTGACGGATGTCATTATCGCGATCCCTTGGCAGCGACTTCCTGAGAAAGGAAGTAGACAGTACTGACAGACTGACAGATTGGCGTTGTTGTGGATTAGGCTCGTGAAGGAATCATAATAGCCTGGCCAATCGACACACGCGCCGGAGAACTTCGGAACCGACATCTGGGGTATGTTCAGCCGCACTTCTGCATCGGCACCCCCAAACACTGGCGGCGGAGGTCCAAGTTTATCCAAATTCTCCGCGAAAGCGCAATAGGCATCCATGTACCACTCCTCGAACTCTGACTGGAAACCCTTCGTGGCCATAGGCCGACCCAGAAAATCCTTCCAGGTTCACGATCACTGAATCCGTCTCCCTTTAATAGTCGCACACAACTTGTCTACTTACTCAGTTATGTATACCAGAATCCTCCTCAAGACGAAGCGAACATCAACAACCGTCTCCAAAGTTAAAAAAACTGTCATCTTGCGCCTACGTATCGCAGTTCTCCTCTTCTGTGATTCGCAGAGCCACCAAAAAAAAAAACGTCCAGAAACTTCCGTAGCTGCGTCTATGTATCGCCGTTTTCTTCCTTTTTCACTTTTAGCGGTATGCAGAGCCGACTTGCAGACTTAACGTAGTTGCGATTGCAGGTTCCCCTCATAGGCCACCATGTACAGTAGTGTCCCCTAACAAAGGCCCATTGTAAGAGGGATTCTCAGGCAATGCAAAACACTAACAGATACACCGCCAATCTCCTCTCTCCCTCTCTCGATGTTCTGTCTATAGCATAAGATAATGTTAGTCAAATAATTCAGATCAAATCGAAACTCCCTTTCGTACGCACGCGCCGTGCCTTTTCATTATGGTCAACTCTGGAATAATAATTAAAATATTAATATTAATAAAAACGCTTATTAATTTTCACTTATTAATTTTTCATAATTATCATAGAGTTAAAATAGAAACTCCCTCTCGTGTGCGCGCGCAGTGCCTTTTCGTTATAGTCAAATTTGAAGTATTAATTAAAATATTAATATTAATAAAAACGCTTATTAATTTTCATGGTGACCCCGACCGGATTTGCAGGCGTTGTTTACGGAAGTGATTTTATTTTATTGTGTTTAAATAAACCTCCGCGTCGGTCAAATTCAAGCAGCAGCCAGAAGACTCAGAGGCCCGATCAAAGACGATACATGGAGTCAAAGAGGGAAGTTGCTGAGCGGACCGCATCGGCTATACAGGGATAGAAGTTTTAAAGTTCGAAGTTAATCTGTGGCATTTTTTCTAAATAATTTCGGCCCATCTTTCAAATTTTTTCATACGTGTAAAATCGGTAGATAGTTGGCATTTAACACATATTTAAACACAAATAAAAATTAGCATGCACTAACAAATTATTTTATATTTATTGTACCAGCAAAATGTGGACCCAAATTGTGTTTTAATTCCCCAACATCTCGTAGTGAGTACCAATTTAGGGTTCAATTTCAAGACAGGAAAAAATTTATTTATTTCGTTTTCGTTTCTTTTTTCTGTTACTTGTTGCCAAGAAAATTGCGTGACATTCCCCCCCCCCTTTTTTTTGTCCTAAATTTCCCGTGTCCGCCATTTTCCTAGCCTCAAAGCTTTTTTCTTGGGACTTTCCATCCCGCTTATATATTCGTTGTCTTTTATTTATCGGCCAGGGCATCATTTTCCGCCAAGTGTCGTTACATATAAAGGAGAGAGCCAGCGGACGAATACCACACATACACACTCTTGCACTGATATCGCTGCCAGTTCTTTCGACTCTCTCTCTCTCTTTGCATTTTCGTTTCGGTCGTTGAATAAGTGCAAGCGTTGTTGTTGTTTTTCGCAGCGTTTTCGGTATTCTGGCTGAGCTTGTGCTACCCTTTAAATTTTGTGCGTGCGGCGTATTAGTGCCGAGCAAATTAACATATAAAATATTAATTTTATTTGTTTTTTCGAAAATTCATCGACAAGTCCTCTGCTTGCCAACGTTCGGAATATACCACTCGTTATTTTTATTTTTTATTTTTCGATTCTTAAACAAATTTTAAATGCAATAACGTGGCGAGCAAAGATATCGAAGAGCTTAAAAATAAACGAAATGGAATAATGCGGAGTACATCCCGAACACAGCAGTATTTTCAAGAGGGTGGACTTTTTCTAAATCCAGTCGAATTAGAATGTCGATTAGAAATTTTGAATTCGCACATTAAAAATGCTTCTTTGATTCAGAATCAAATCGAAGCAAAAGACGCAAAGGATTTGTTCCGCGAGGAACTGGAAGAGACTGCCGTAATGGCAAAATCATTACTATTTTCGCTAATAAGCAAATACAGGCGTATGAGCGTCGTTGATGCTGCTCCGCCGGTGAAGCGCACTTCCCAATGCCGTTTGCCGAGCATTGTTCTTCCAACTTTCAGCGGAAAGCACTCCGAACTTAAAAATGTTATAAGCCTTTTCAAAACATTTGTCGACAAAGATGACACTCTGCACGATATCAAAAAATTTAATAATTTGATATCGTGTCTGGCTGGCGACGCTTTAGGCACAGTCAGGGCGTTCCAAGTCACCGCCGTTAATTACCCCAAAGACCTGGCTAGCCTGAAGCGGGTGTACGATAATGATTGTCTGATATTCTTCGACAATATATCAACACTATTCAATCTGCTGAAAATGTCCCAGCCATCAGCTACTGCCTTAAATAACCTGATCGACACAGTCAGAGCTGTTTATGATTCTGTGCTGTCTATTGGGGATGACAACCTATACTTCGCTTCCCCTTTGGAGCACATGGTCGCCGAATAGGCTTCCAAGCCCAAAAATCTTCAGCCTAGCAATACGTTTCCGAAGAAGAGTGGAAATAAAAGTTTTTCGTTGGTCGCTGCCAGGGACGAGCCTGCCTTATGTGTGTTTTGCACCTCGGCAGTGCAACACATAGGAAATTGCACTTCTTTCGCTTCCTTAAAAGTTTATGCATCAACTGCATTAAATGCATTAAATGCATTAACTGCATTCGCAAGGGTCACACTGTTAAAAAAAGCAAATCGAACAGGTGCGGGGTGTGCAAATCTTCTCACCACACATTGTTGCACAGATACTCTGCTAATACAAATCTCGCGTTGCCGCCTCCTCCTCAGCCCGTGCTCACGCAAGAGTATCCATCCACTTGGCATGTTTTGCATGCGACTGTAGCGGATATAGTTATTCTTGCCACAGCTATCGTGGGCGTGTTAACGAAAAGTGGCGAAATTGTGATGGCTCGAGCGTTGCTTGACTCTGGTTCTCATGAAAATTTTGTGACCGATAAGATCACTCAGAGACTACAAATTAAAAGAGAGGACGTGGGTATGAGTTTGCGGGGCATTGGTGAAACAAGTGCTCAAGCAACCAAAAAAATACACGCAATAGTGAAATTGCGATTAGGAAGCAA